CATGTGCTTTGCATGCTGAAGGGAGAGCATACTGTGTGTGTGAGAGGAGTAACAGCATTTTTGATGTTCTATCTGTCAGTAGAGGAGATGTGAAGATGATCATTCCAAGGGCACCCGTTTCTATTAGAATGTTGACATATTTCATTGAGTATTTCATGAATTCTGTTAGTTCTTTTAAAAAAAAAATCTTTCAAGATGTAATTTAATTAAAAACAAGCCAAAAATTAGGTACAAGACTACAATTGGTTTTTTTCCCCCAAAGCTGCGTGCTGGCCCTTTCGATGAGTTCCAGATTGCTACCATGCTCAAGGAAATCTTGAAAGGTCTTGACTACCTACACTCAGAGAAGAAAATTCACAGGGATATAAAAGGTGTGTAACATTTCCACTGTTACTTTGTTAAAGTCTTTAAGAACCACAAGAACAGTAGTCTGATGGAGATGTTGTTTCTCCTTGGCAGCTGCCAATGTCTTGTTATCAGAGCAAGGTGATGTTAAGCTTGCTGATTTTGGAGTCGCTGGGCAGCTGACAGACACGCAAATTAAGAGGAACACCTTTGTTGGAACCCCATTTTGGATGGCCCCTGAAGTCATTCAGCAGTCAGCGTATGATTCTAAAGTAAGTATGGGAGTAGAACACCTTCTCCTTGTATCTGACAATCCAACAGCAGTTACTTTGAGTTTCTGCTTTTAGATCTACCACTGTGGAGGAAAAAAAAGGTAGATTTCAAATTACAGGGTTTCAAATAATATAATTATAAGTATGAATAAATTGTTTTTCTAGAGTAGTTACATGTCATTGTACTCCTGTGCAGGACCTATGCAGTCACCAAGTAGATTGATGCTGTCATGTTTCTTTCAGAGCAACTCCCTGAGTGCTTTCAGTGTTATGAGTTGGTTGGTTTGGTTTCACTTCAACGTTTCACATTTAATTCAAACAGCAGTCACATATTCACCAAGTGGAATGGCACCAGAACTTGGCAGTTTACTTAAAGCCAAGATGATGACTGGAATTTTACTCTCTTCTCAGATTTTTATACACAGCTCTGGATATAATTTGTTTAGTAGTATTTCTGAGGATCTGTGCAGTGCTGAAAATGTTAGCAGAGGTCACTGTTCTTGAGAAGGTAAAAAGTAAATTGAACTACAGGATGGGTAGCTGTGGTAGCATTATGTACCTTGTGTGTTTCTTTGTCATGGATGACAAATGACAAAGGAGAGTTTCCCCTATGTGAACCAGCAGTAGAAAAGCAGAGCTCCTCCAGGTTTTCTGAGGGTTGGGAACTGCTGCTAGAAATGACAGTAAGGAGGGAGCAGTGCCCTTTTCTCCTCTGTGGAAACCCTCATGATGACCTAGAGCATGTGGATAGTGCAGTTACAGTGTGCTTCAATGCTGGCATTGGACTTTGCATATGCTGTAGATACAGCCTTAAATGGGAGCAAGATATCTAAAAATCTTGGTATGTGCAAAGTAGTATTTTCATACTGTTTTTTTTCTCAAACAGTAAACTTGAAACTGTACTTGTAATGTGCACACAAAGAAAAAGACTGTTGAATATCTGAGGTGTCCTGAAAATATTCACACTCCAGGATCATTTTCCCAGGGTTATTCAGACTGGAAGGAATTTGTGTACTTGTCACAAGGGTTCTTGCTGATAAGAAAGTTGTAGTTACCCTGTTTAGGGTTTCAGTGGTGCCAACTGTAGTGTGCTCCCTAGGGCGTTTTGGAAAAGCACTGTACCCTGCCTTAAAAATGTGCATTGGCCACTCAAATTGGGCAAAATTCCTCTTCTGCTTGCCCTGTATATAAATCAGCTGTACCACCCCTTCATTTAAATTTTCCAAGCAACCTACTCTTTAGTCCTCCATATGTCCTCACTATGTTGCAAGAGCACTGTCTTCCTTCTTTTCTTTTCGTGCCAAAATTCAAGCAGGAAAGCACAGAAGATGCAAACCTCAGGTAGGACAGATGAAGGGTTTGGACAGGATGCACTTCCATTTCTAGACTAATGCTGATGTCTGGACTTAATTTTAGCCTTTCCTCTTCTCTCCATACTTCAGAAATGATGGAAAATAAAATAGAAATTCATACATTTTTGACCTACTTCTTATCTCAAAACGTTTTGCTCTAATAGACAACTGTTAGAATATTTCAGTAATATCAACGAGCTAGTTGAATTCTTCAGTGTGAAGTTCAGCTATTGTAGTTCCTGTGATTAGGAGAGGAATATCGGTGAGATTTAAATTTTAACCTTTGTTTCCTCTATGGACAATTTTGGTTTAGGATTCTGAGCCAAGTGTAGTCAGCTGTTGTCAGCCACTTTTTAATGAGAAACACCTTTAGTGACCTTAGTAGCTATTGTAACTCATCTAAAAAGGCACAAGTAGGCTATGTTTCAGTGGGGAAAAATCTCTGAATCAGAGAAGAATTGTATAGTTCTATAATTTTATATCTATATATGATATCAAAATATAATAGTATATTTTGATACAAAGACAGAATTTGTTTATAATGCTTACTTTTTCTAACTAAAATAAATAACACTTCATTTTGCTTCAGTAACTTACACTGTGAACTTGGTGTTTCAACTCAGTAATTCCTTAGCTAAATTCATCAGTCTGTTAGGAAAGACTTTAAGTGATTGTGTGCTGGATTTGATTCAGCTTTCTGTCTTGTTCCTTCAGAGTGAGCAGTCAAACAAGGTTGGATACCTCAGTGCATCTTCAGTTTAAAAAGTAACATCAGCATGCAGTCTGGCTGCTTAAACAAAGTCTGAATTAGGCATAGGAAATTTGTGGCAGTTTGTAGTTAACATATAGAAAAAAAAATCAAAGGGAGGATCAATGTTTCTGAAGCTTTTCCCAAAAGCATGTGACTTGAGGTGCCTGTTTAACTTGCTGACAGTGTTAGAACAGTGACTGTGCAACAAAAGTGGTGATGTAGATGTTGGTCATTAAAGACTGATAAGTCAGCCAGGTCTTTGGGAATCAGCTGTTCCCGGAGTATTAGAAAGGAATATTTGGATTACCTACTAAGAGCAGAATTTATTTTATATAATAAATGAAGTATGTGTGGAAATTTGAGTTGCTCTAAAAGTTGCCTTTTCCCTTTGTCAGGCTGACATCTGGTCCCTGGGGATCACCGCGATTGAACTGGCCAAGGGGGAACCTCCCAACTCGGATATGCATCCAATGAGAGTTCTGTTCCTCATTCCGAAAAACAATCCTCCAACTTTATTAGGAGAATTCAGTAAACCTTTCAAAGAATTCATTGATGCATGTCTGAATAAGGACCCAACATTTGTGAGTAGATACGTGTGTGTGTGTGTGTATGACTCTTTCGGTGTTGTTTTCTACTCTCATGCTTGTGAAGTATTTTGCCGGTGTAGTGCATCATCACTGATGGAAATAATTTTAGAGACTGTGCTTTCCACTGGAAATGGTAGTGGTACTTTTTAATAGCTGTCTCCATCCTAGCCTCTTTTGTTTAAAATATTCAGAGGAGGAGGGAGAATGCTGAAAAAAGTTATGGTGGCAGAGGCAGCTTCCTGAAATGCACTCAAACCTAGGACAGCGGCAGAGGAGAAGCTTTAACGGAGGAGAGAATCATCTGAAATCCTTTCCTCCAGCACAACTTTTGCTGTCTGAATTCAGCTTACAAGGAAATGTTGCATTGGAGAATTTTGATTAGTCATTTTCCTGGGTGTGCCCTTGTAGAGTAGAAGGATAAGCTGTATAGGCTATGGATGACTTGGTCGTATTTTTAGAGTGCTTGTAAGTGTGGGTTACTGGCTTCTCCTGACTTCCTGTTTTACTGATTTCTTGATACTGTATGAGTTAGCTCTAGAAGTCTGTTGTCTTACTAAATCTCCCCTGTTAACATTTGAAATCATGAAATGTTAGCATAACATTAAATATTTAAAGTATTTCTTACAGCGTCCCACTGCAAAAGAACTTCTGAAGCACAAATTCATTATGAAAAATGCCAAGAAGACTTCCTATCTGACAGAACTGATTGATAGGTTTAAGAGATGGAAAGCAGAGGGACATAGTAGTGATGAAAGTGATTCCGATGGTTCAGATTCGTAAGTTTATTTTCAGTTTAGTCTTTTTTGGGCTTTTTTCTTTTTAGAGAACATTACTAAAGTAGGTTTGCTGCAGCTTCTCTGTGTAATTAATTCCATTTCTGTACACCTGTCTATGTGCTATCTGTTTCTCATTGGCTGCTTTCAAGAAAACCCCCTGTATGAACCTAAAGACTAACACATAAGTCAAGCTGTGCACTCGTTACCTCTTTAAACTTTCTCTCTCTGAACTCAATTTCAGTTCTGTTTAAGTGCTATGTATTTCCTAGTCTGAGGCTAGTGGTTGTACCAAAGCCAGTGAATCACAATTAGAGGTATTGCAGAGCAAGGTTGAGGTGCATGAAGAAGTTTGCACAATGCCTGTGGAACAACATGCTTTCTGTAAGTCTCTTGCTTTTCTGGATATCAGATACCTGTTTTAAATGGGATGCCATGGGAGAAGGTAAGCTTTGTGGGCAGATAACATCTTCTGATTGCTTTGATCACATTTCAATTTATTCAGCCTCTTTTCAAGTTCAGTTAATGTTTCAATACACATTTTTCTTCTTACTTTAAGGAACATGGAACTAATCCTTCTATGTTTGTTACATTTTTATTACCTGTGCTTGCTTGGTGTGATGTTGTGGCAAGTAGTATGTACATCATGTCCTTTTTTCTTCAGGGAGTCCAGTAACAAAGAAAATAACTCTCACCCTGAGTGGAGCTTTACTACAGTTCGGAAGAAGCCAGATGCAAAGAAACTACAGAATGGGACGGTATGTACAGTCTGCAGAGTTCTGACTGCTGGTTCTGAAGCTAATTCAGGGAAGATAGTGATAAAACTTAGTAAATTTCACTTTTCATAATATAAGAACTGGCTCTTTTTTTGTAGTTTAAGAGATGATGGTGGTTAGTGATATTTCCTATGCCCATGTCAGCTGCAAGTGCAAAATATACTTCAGATGTATCCGTTCACAGAGATGGGAAGTTTAAAGACTTAGGGAGGAAAAACTGAACTGTTTTTCTGATGTTATGTATTTACATATATTTGAGATGTGTCATCAGGCATCTCTTTCAACACCCTGTAACATTTGTTGGTGTACTGTGCCTCTGTTGGTTTTAATCACTCAGTTAAATGTAACTGAACTTCTAAGATCACATGTGCTGTGTTAAGTGCAGTGTGTATGTTGTATGGCAAAGTGCTAATGTAATGCTCATTTGTGAACTTTCAGGATCAGGATCTTGTTAAAACCCTGAGTTGTTTAACTATGATAATCACCCCTGTGTTCGCTGAGGTAAGTGTTGGCTTAAAAAAACTCCTTTGAAAGTATTAGCCAAATGTCTGGCAATTTTTGTAAGGTTTACCTGTTTTGATTTGCTCCTCAGCTCAAGCAGCAGGACACAAATAATGCTAACAGGAAGAAAGCAATTGAGGAACTTGAGAAAAGCATCAACATGGCAGAAGCAACATGTCCAGGGATCACAGATAAGATGGTGAAGAAACTTATGGAGAAATTTCAGAAGTAAGTTAAGGAATTTTTATGTATGCGTTGTAAAAAAATTAAAGTTTTTGCTTAAAGAAATTATATTCAAAGTAAGTATGCATAGGAAAGGTTAGTTGACACTGAACTTCATGTGTGGAGTAAATTTCTGTAGTTTAATGATAAGGGGAAGATCTGCTATGTCCAGTGCTTTAACCTTCTAGCTTTGGTAGTTGTAGTTAACTTCTATTTGAGACTAAAACGAATAGTAGCAGTTACTATGTCTGGTCTTCTGGTGCTGCAGCTTTACTGTAGTTGTTATTCCTTGTTTCCTTTAATGTAGCCTGCAGTTTTGTCATGAGCATATTTACAGACAGAGAGGGAAATGGAGAATCTTTAACTTATCTCTTTGAGGAATATTTTCTTGAGTGTCACTTCTGGTGGGTGTTTCCCTATGAACTGTTGGGATGTACTAGTTTAGTGATGCAAAACCAGCTATGTGCTGTTTGCCTAGCTGAAACAGTATAATTAACAGAGTATTTGCTTGCCTTTTTCACCTGTAGATTTTCTGTTAATGACTCATCCTAAGAAACTTCACACAATTGACTGCTGTTTAGTATGGACCCAGTGAAACCCACCAAAACTACTTCAAGCTTGGCAGTGCTTAGCTCATGAGCTCCTTGTGCCTTTTGGATCTTTGCAACATATTGATGGTGATTGAGGATTTGAAAGAACCTACTCAACTATTTTGTGGCAGTGCACATGGTTTTATATTTTCAGGAAATTATTTTGTAAAGAACAACTTTTAATATTGTAGTTTCACCTGTTTAATCTGATAAATGTTGAGGTGCAGTTTTGCTTTTAGAAATAACCATTACTTTAGTTAATAGAATGTGCAAGTACAGTATGTTTTGATGCTCTTTTGTTCCTGTACAGGGGGTTGTACAGGTCTTTTATATTCATGAGTTAAACTTTTGTAAATCACTAACAAGCTTCAGAGAAAATAGCTTTTTCACAAGCATACTCCAAACATGTAACGTAGTGGCAAGGGTATTGCTGTAGCACCTGCTTCAACCAGCATATAGTTACCGTGCCCTGACAAACAAACCTGCAACAGTATCTCTTTGAATTCTAAATTGGTACAGTATTTTAGGCAGCTCTATGATTAAATATGTTTGAGAGCAATATGTCAATAGTTTGCAGGTGATATGTAGCAACAGGTCTATCCTGATGTACAGTATGTGTAGTACCTTTTAGAACAGGTTTTGAAGTAGTCGTTCAATCTTACAGCATCCTAGTAGGAAACATTTAGAGCAATACAGTTGAGGGGGTGGGGCTTTTGGCAATAATGGACAAAACCTGAAGTCCAGTTGAACTTAATTTAATTTTTTTTCCTCTGAGTACACATGCCTGGGTGGAAGGGAGCCAGAGAGGCCGAGCGTCGCATGTTACATACCTCACGCGCAGGTATCGGTGTAACACCAGCGTCCTGGGTGGTGGTGTTGTTTCTCCTGTAAGATATTTATACACATTTTCCTTCTGAAGTACATTAAAGACAGTACATCGACACCATTTGTTTATAATTTTTCTGAAAGTGTATTTTAAATATGTATTTACCAGTTAATATGCAAATAACTGAGTTATAGATATTCTTTCACAAAAGGTAGTACTGTGCAGTACGGAGTGAATTTTTTTTCATAAAGAAGTAGGTAAGGACTATAAAGTTGCTTTCAGTTATATATTTATGGTACTGCTAGATGGGTAATATCTTTTCTTCTGTTGGTTTGGTTTTTTTTTTTTTTGGGTTTTGGTTGGTTTTTTTTTCCCTTTTTCAGCCCAGTATGTATATTATGCTGAAGTTTTGAACTGGGATTGTTTTTCAGTACTTAGCTGTGGAACTGTTGGTGTAAATTTATTTTTGATAAAGGCTGGGTGTGTTTATTTTATGGTTCAGACCTGCACATTTTGTTTTTGCACAAAAGTCATTTTAAAGAATCTGAAATATATCTGCCAAATATTGAAAAAGTAATGGTGTGCAAGTGAATACTGCATTTTTAGTCAAATGTTGCCATTACATTGTTTTTATATAAAGGACACTCATGAGAGATGGTGGTTAGATATGCCAAGGACAATTATTTTCAATGGTGCCTACACTGTAAAAAAATTACTTTTAACTCCTTGTTTTAATTTTAAAAAAAATGTTTCTGTTTAAAACTTTCATCTGCTATATAACTGAAATTCAATTAGAATTTATATCTGAGAAAAAAGTCTGGAAATAGTTTTTGAAAACAATAATGTTATGGATTAAATAAATATTTTTATAAATGTAAAAGCAGCAAAAGTTGTAAATACAGTTGATCTGAAGCTTTACAAAATAACTGCATCACAGAAACAAATTGTAGTGCTCCTCTAGCTTCTGTAGTTGTTAGTCTTGTAAATCTGTTTATAGATGAAGCTTATTTCAATGTTTTGGGGGGGGGTTAAATGGTTTAAAAATAAATATTTAAGTTCTGTAAACTTTCCTGAGCTTGTTCTGTTGTGCATTTTATTCTGGATTGTAGCAGATGTGCAGAGGTGTGGACATGCCTCTTACAGACTTGTGCTCTAGTTCAAGAAAGGTGTTGTGTGGGTGCTTTGCCAAGGTTTGGGTCCCCTCATGCTGTTGTGTCTGGAGGACACCTGCCAGCTGCTGCACCATAGGGAATGGATGGAGCAGCCCAAGGGTTCAGTTTGGTTCCATTCCTAGAGAGAAGACTTCAGGATCTGTGAGCTCAACCAGTGACAACACGGTAGAGATGTCAGAACACTCTGGCTGTGTTGGACCTCGGCGTTGGGGAGTGAAGGTACACAAAGGCTGTGGTTCCCTCGGCTCTCACTTCAGCAGCCTCGACACAGAGCTCATTTTAAGGAGCTGTGTACACATTTTTCAGAATAAAAGCATGATTTTACTTCCATGTCACTTCCCTTAAGGTGTTCCTTAAGGTATTCTTTTTATGTGGGAGTCTGACGGGAGAGGTGATGGGAACTCCTCCCAGATCTTGTAACTGGTGGCTCTAACCCTGTTGACACATGATCTTTAATCTATGCAACTCTCTGAACAATTCTGGGTAGTTGGGTTAGTGAATGACACAGGAAATCACCTGTCCTGTTTGTGATATGACTGTAACAAGTAGCTGAACTATGGTGCCTCTTCTTTTCCTGTGAAATGGGTGGGATGTGTACCTACCTCATGGGACAGCGTGGGGAAAAACTCATCCACATGTGTGTAATAAAGCCTCGTTCCCTTATAGTACAGTCCATTCAAGAAGGTTTTTATTGTGTTGCATTTTTCTGCACCTAAAGTCTCTGTGCATCATAAGACCTACGATCCAACTCCTAAGAGTGTATGTCTGTATTGCTGGGTCCAGAGAAGAGCTGTCTTTTTTCCCAGATGTGTTAGTTATTGATGAACTGTGTAACTTAATCAGCAGTATTCTGTTGCTGGCAGATAGCTAATGGAAAGATATATCAAAATATTCATGCAGGAGCCATCTCTGGCTCGTTGGGTTTGCCAAGCTTCCCCGCTGTGTGGTGAGAATCACTACTGAAGTAATCATATCAAAGTACTCCGAATTGCAGAATAGAGAAATGTGTTTGTTCTTGGGTAGATGAGTCCTTTATCAGTGTAACATCTTTGAAGCCCTCGGTCTTTGACCCCTCTATTCTCCTCTGTACAGTAAGTCAGCATGTAGTGTTGTCACACCTGTTCTTGCCTTCGCTCGAATGTCGATCGCTGAATAGGAGAAGAGTTTGTAGGTTTCAATGTGTTTGCACAAAGTTTAGCAATTGTTAAAAGTCTGATTTTTATCACACTGTTTTATGACTTAACACTGGAATAAAATTATTTTCCTCTTTGCAGAGTTGTAGTGGTATGTATGTTGGTAACTGTGCTGAAGCCTTAGTGCAGCTCCAAACAAGTTCTTTGTGTAAGTTCTTTGTGTATTTTGCTCTTTATATCCTAACACTTCTACCTAAAATGTTCCATCTGAATTTCAAGATCAGCTTTATCTCTGACACATTTTATATAAATCCATTGCTTAAGTCTGAATGCAGAGTAGATTAGTGTTTTCACACTGTAATGCTGCTGTGCCTTCTCCCCTTCAATAATCCTTCCTTGTGTGAGGGCTATAACAGTTTATATTTTCCAGGGACTGCTGTCTGTCTCTCACTGCCAGCAGACCAAATCCTTCCATGTCCTTCTCCATCTTCTTCTCTAGAGAAATACAATCACTTGAATAGATGTTCTTACCTATTTGGGGTGAATCAGGCTGAGCAAGGACTAGGGAGAAGGACATACTCAGGGTTATTTCAGTTGTTCTTGATGTGAGCCATTGCTTCCTGGGATTGTTCCTTAATTTTAGTGAGTTCCCAGAAAGCTGGTTTACGCAATGAATTTAGCTTGAAGATGTTAATTTCTGTCACTTGCTGATGAGCTGCTTTGTTCTCTACTATTGTTGACCATCGTGTAGGATGTGCTGAGGCACAGTGCCCACACTGTGCCCCAGTGCTCTCTAGTCAATGGAAAAATCCAAAAATAGTTCCCAAGTCCTTGTTTCTCCTGTTTTCCCAGCATAGTTCTGAGGACCAGAGCTGGCAGCTCCTGAAGATTTGGGCAGAGTGGTTGTACATTGATTCCTCTTGCTGAGTCTGTGTGACTGTTCTCGGACAGTGAAGGTAAAGCTGACCTGGGCCAGCTATCACCAGTGTGTCCATGTGCTTTCAGGAGCTAACAGTGATTGTGGTGTAACCCTGGGAGGGATGCTCTCCCATGGTTGTGTGTGCAGGTTTTGTTTAAACCACTGCTGCTCTTTTAACCCTCTACTGAACTGCTGTACTGAGTGGTGGTTCTTTCTAAAGTGCAGAGCTTTGGGAAAGGGAAGAAACAACTCTCCCTAACCGGAAAGATTATCCTTTTTTTTCAATAGAATGTGTGCCAGAGCAGCATGTGGGTCCCTGTCATTCACAGCTTCAGCACAGGGTAGCCAGGAGCAGAAGCAAACCTTACAGTGTGTGCTCTCTTGTTGGTCTGATGCATTTCTTTGGGTCACCAGCCAAGGTCAGCAGCATTCAGGGATCTCAGCAATTCGCCCCAGTTGCTGAAATAGTGAAGGCACAGAGGGAGCCAGCAAGCAGTGCAGGAGAGGGGAACCAGCTCTGGAGCACTGAGGGCTGCCCAGGAACAGTGAGGCTTGGGGCAGGGAGGGCTGGGGGTGCCTGCAGGACTGGGGGTGTAGATGTCACAGGGCAGAAGGAAGAACCCAAAACTTAGGTGTGAAAAACTGATTTTTATTGTCCAGCTTCTGAAACAAAGGACAGCAGTACCCGTAAGCTCAGTTCTTTTTACATTTTAACCTATTTTATCCCAGCTTCCTTGTTTCTGAAGTCCATTCCAGCAGGTCTCAGTGGTTTCTCAACCACAGATTTTCTGGGCTGCCCTTCTGCTTACAACCATGTCGTACTAATACTTACAGGGTTTTTCTTAAAGAAAAGGAACAAGATCCTCCCCATACATCTTACAAAGGTGTCATCATTCTCCAGTTTGCTGAGGAGGTTTCAGTATGTTTAGGGTAATAATAAGTTTTTGTAATAAAAGAAGTATTTTTATGCTTTTCCCCTTTGAGAGAGCAATGGATACATGAGGAATCCCCCTCCTGCTGCTCCATGGATGGTGAGCAGTCCCATCTCCTGCTCCTGGAAACAGTCCAGCCCTGGAACAATTTACACTGCTCCCATATAGCAACAGGAAAGTTTGGAAGCATCACAGTTACAGCAGACTTCCAAATGCCATGAGTGGGCACCAGCTGCTTGTTCCTTTCCTGCTCCTACTGAGATTTTTTTTTCCCCATGCTGATTAACTAAGGCCCAATTTAAGGTGGGGAAAGGACCCCCTTGACATGCCTCTCTCCCCTAGATTTAAGCAGGACACTGAGGTACCAGAGCTGCCAAAAGATGACAGCTCCTGGGCCTAAGCAAAGCAGAGCTATACAGTCTTACTCACTTACCAGTGCTCACTGTGGGATGCTTGACAAGCACCACTGAGATGTTTCTGGGGAAGGATAATGCTCTCAACTAGACAAGAAGACAGAGCAGTTTGCTTCCTTCAGGGCTCTGTGCACATGGCCTAGTCCTCAAGGGCCAGGCACTCTCTGCAGTGTTGGAGGGAGGTGAGGCAGGTGGAGGAGATGGGCTCAGTGCTGAGGCATTGGCTGTATCCACATGGGAACACCTCCCATGAATATCCTGCTCCTCTCCAAGGAGGCCTCAAATACCATTCCCACCAGTGTGCTTCCCTGCAGCTGGGAAAAACAGTGGCTTAAACTATCCCCTGAGAAGTCTCTTTTCTTTTTCTCCCTCCCTCCTTAGTGAAGTCTCCTGCAGCTGAGTTCCAGTCATGGCCAGCAGCCATCAGCTTGGGCACACAAGGTCTTAGCAGGGCTTTAGGAGAGCTCTAACGCCCCTGGCTGAAGCAAGAACCACTCCTATGTGTGGTGGCAGAGACTCACCAGCTTCCAGGAGTGGTGCAGGGGTTGAATACTTCTGAACACTCCCCTGTTGCCCATTAACACATCCTCTTGTAACAGTGCTCACGCAACACAAATCCATCGATGTTTCATAAGCTGCAAGCAGACCTGCAAACGTGTCACCACTCCGTGACCCTGGGTCAGTGCCAGCTGCCTCTGCTCCCTCCAGCTGGTGTCAGGCACCTAAGTGAAATACTTGGAGGAAATCCTCTGTTCAGCAGCACTGGTGGCTAAGGACACCTCCTCATCCTCTTCATCCAGCTGGAGGCTGCCGGAGGAGAGCCGCACCCGGGCCATGGGTGACCGCAGCACCCTCCCGTACAGGGAGCAGTAGTCAGTGGCCAGGAGGTCTGAGTCAGAGTCACTGGACTCGGTGCTGCTGCCCAGGTAGCGCTCGGTGGAGCGACGTGGCCCCTGTGCCAGCCCTTGCTGGGCTGGTCTGTGCCAAAACACACCTGCTTTCCTGCTGCTCAGCGCAGGGCACGGCCCCAGGGGTCTGAACTCAGAGCTGTAGGGGAAGCGAATGGTTTTCATGTCTGACTGGCTCCAAGATCTCTTGGGAGGCTGCTCCTGAAGGCCGAAGTCGAAGGAGCAAGTCAGTGACCTGTTCTCCCCCGCCGGGGCCACTCCTGTGCCTGCTGCCACGCACACAGCCTCGTGCTGGAACTCCCCAGCCTGAGTCCCACTGGGACTCTGCCTGGCAGGCTTTGCTGCCGTGGGGCCACATGCACCTGCCGTGTCCTCGCTGGGTGCTGCTGCAAGGCCTGAGGGCTGTGGGGCCCTGTCCAGGTAGAAGAGGAGCTGCGGGGCAGGAGCAGCCATGGGCAGGGGACATGGCACGTCCGTGTACACCAGTGGTCGGGCGCTCACCTCCCGCATGTTGCCCACCGAGGTGCTCTTACTATTCCCAGCAAACTGGTGGTGGGGCCGGAAGGATGTCAGGGGGTTCCTGGCACTGAAGAGATCCATGGGCTCCCATGCCCGCTCCATCTCCAGCTCAGCATAGAGCAGGGGGAAGGCAGAGGAGCTTTTGGAGTGGGGCAGGAAGGTGGGAGATGCTTCAGGCTTGGAGCGCTCCAGCTCAGCAGCAAACGTCACCTCCATGGTGGAGCTGCGGCGCCGCGTGTCCAGCGTGGGCTCGGAGCCATGAACCCCATTGGCATAGTAGGAGCCCCTGCTGCCGTAGGCCAGGCGCAGCTCCTCCACCTGAGCAGGGACAGAGGGTGGGTGAGTGTCCAGAGTGGGGCTGGCAGCAAGGCCCCAGAGCTGGGGCTGCAATGCCAAACCCCTGGGCATGGCACTAACTATTGCTGATGCCACGGGGACATACCTGCTTAGAGACATCAGTCAGGAGGTCTGGGGAGGAGCGGCACTGCCTCTCATCGTAACGGGATGTGTAGTGTTTCCTGCAGGCCAAGAGCATGGGGGGGTGGCCAGGAGGGTCGTGTCACTCCCCACCCCAATCCCTCCCTGGGCCCCCCTGTGTCCCCCAGTACCTCTCAAAGGGCAGGCTCTTCATCTTTGCCTTCCTCCCATGCTCCAGCAGCTGCCGCTGTGTCCTCCCACTACAGTATGAAGGGAAACATGTGAACAGCATCATCAGTCCCAGCCTTCAGTGGTCCCCATGCCCCAGATGAGGTGAGGAGATGCAACAGGGCTGAGGCAGTAGCTGTTGGACATCACCTCCTTGTGTCCAGCCAGGGCTGACATAAAGGGGAGGCTCAGAGCCATCCCCATGCCCTTCCCAGCCCCAGCGTTTTGGTTTTCCCCTGGGACTTCACCTGTAGCGGAAGCTGGAGCCCTTGCTGCACAGAAGGGCTTTGGGCTTTGACTTGGGCTCTTCAGAGAGCCTGAAGAAGGCATGGTACTCCACACACGTCTTCCAGAAAGCCTTGCAGGTGTCCCGGCTTGCCATGGTGAACTCCAGTGTGTCCTTGCACAGTGCCTGCATGGCAGAGACAAGCAAGCTGGTGTCAGGGGCATGGGGCCAGGCTCTGCTGTTTGCCCTCCTGAACCCCCAGGGGACACAACAGGGGCAT